CGCATCTGCACGTGCTGTTGTGCCAGGAACAGTCATGAACGACGTGGTAATGATTGTCATGGTGTCCAAGGAGAAAGATGGTCCCGTGGTAAGCTCGTTGAAGATGCCTAGTAATATTCGCGTCTGATCTGTCGTAAGGAACGGCTCTCTCATATACCGTGTGTACAACTCTGTGTCGTATATTGCTGCGACGAAATTGCTCAACGAGGACTTGTCGAATTTCATCGTGTCCCGCGCGATCTCGCTCTCTTGGACCGATTGCAATTGACCGCCCAATTCCGCGAAGGCGTCTCTGTCCTCCTGTTTCAGATCCTTGCGGTCCACCAGGATTCGCAGCGCTTTCACCCATATGGACAGCGGTTCCTCGCTGGTTGTCCAAGAGGTCCGCAGCAATGCTCCGAAGGTCGGTGTCGAGATCGTGTTGTTGCTCTCCATGTTGGATTGACGTATCCACCGCGGAACTTTTTTCCATTCTGCTGAAATCGCCGGTGTAAACTTTCTTATAACGCCTCCACTCAACCACTCAACCACTCCTACCTACCTATAGCCGGCCTATCGCCGCCGGCTGCGCCGGCGGCATGATAACGGCCAAGGCTAATAGGTAGGTAGGAGTGGTTGAGTGGTTGAGTGGAGGCGTTATAAGAAAGTTTATTATTTGGATATGGATTATGGATTTGTTTAATACATGATTTATTAATCAAATTTTGTAAGAACAGAGCGTGCCAAGATGTAAGGTTTCTATTTCTAAAGATAAGCAGAGTACTTATCACGTTAAGGTGCATTCTCAACGCTCACACCGTATGGAAATTTATTTAATTTTTGTTTTTTGTGAAAGGAAGCGACTTGCGATTTCGTCAACGCTTAAGGCGGATGAGGTAAATCTTTCGTAGCGTGTAATGAAGATTTACGACAAGGAGAACGCCGGTTCTCTCCTTGCACAGAGCACTAGTCATATAGTAGAAGAATAGTTAAGCAGGGTATGGGGGCTCCAAAATGGTACCAAATCGATGAAGGTGAAGGAAGCGACACAGCAGCAAGGCGAGGAACGCGATGTCGCGAGAGAGGATACGACAGTGGATCGCACCATAAAGTCTGTCGGGAGAGCTTCAGGATAGAACAAGCGGCACGAGACAAAAAACTTGTGAATCTTGAGGCGAGAATTGGATAACAATCTATGATTTTCGGGTTAAGTGCGCCGATAGCTCAGAATAGTGGAATGACCGACAAACATGAATTTATATCTTATCTTTTCTTTACTTCCGATTTCAAGGGTCGCCACAAATAACCTCTTTTTATATACATAATACATATTTTAATACATAACATAAATATAATTATAAGTAATTTTACATAATATATAATTCATAAATAAAAGATATAAATAATATAAATAAATAATAATATAAATAAATAATAATATAAATAAATAAAAGATAATATAAATAAAAGATATAAATAATATAAATAAATAATAATAATATAAATAAATAAAAGATTATATTAACTTATAATAAATTAAGTAAATCTTTTGTAAGGCGCCTTTTCTTTAAAATTTTTAAATTCTTCTACTTCAAAAATTTTATAAATAAATTCTAAGTTTATTGTTTCTTTTTCCCAATATTTTTTTAAATGTATTATTTAAAAATAAATCCGTTTCTTCATTAAAATTGAATATTGGATGTGCTGCCGTATTCCGCAATGTTCGAAAATGTTATAAAACTTTATTATAATTCTTTATATCTATGCCTTTTTCTTTCATGTTGTCATAAAATTTATTCACACGTTCTTTAGCCTCTACATCTTTAGCATAAAGTATTAAATTAAAGTATTAAATTATCAATCTGTATTTGTTTAACTTGGTAATCATTAAAATCTGGTTCATGCAATATTGTAATTGCAATATATTCGTGTTGCAAAGTGCGCAAGTGCACTAACGTGCCACTAGCCCACCGCACGAAGAAATAATAAAAGAAAGTGACTTGCGATCCCATCAACGCTTAAGGCGGACAGGGTGAACTTCCTTCATGCACGGGGTCACTACCAGAGAATGCTCTCTTCTCTGACGCAGAGTACTAGTATTAGTAGAAAAAAAGATAGAGAAAGAGAGAGAAGCTTATGTAATTAAGGATATAAAGGAATATAGGGAACGCGCACTTACTATTCACTACTAGTACAATGTCTTTCTGTATTCATTAGTTCTCGCGGTGCGATGACAACAGTTTGCAAGTTGTATTAGTTTTGAGATTTAAGATCCTCCGTAAGGGTAATATTGTTGATCAAAATACGCTACTCAATGAATAGTTTTAAAATCCTTTATTATACATGCAAAATATCATAAATATATATAAAATAAAATCTTAATTTTTGGTGTCAATATTTGTATCATAAATATTTTGAGACATGCAAACACATTGAATGTATTCTATTTCACCACGTAATTGGATGCACTACAATGCGTACACACATGCATTAATTTATAAATGATACAGAGTTCAGACAGATTATTAATAACTTATGAAAATTGCAGAATTATTGCAGCAAAACTGTTTGATGGAGGCCTGTTATGGCGGGCGCATTCAGTAGGAACCAAGTATTCACAAAAAATATTTTGGAAACTACGGAGGCGCGCACTCTTTGTTCAATAAATTTCGACTGTTCTGATATTATAAAATAATTTTATAAAATATTCTATGTTTCCGTAGTTATTGACGTAAAATATTTCTAAGTTTGACCGATCTGTCTCACGAAAATTCTAAGTTATTACAAGTCGAATGTTAAATAATTCCAAGTTCCGATTATGGAAATATTCCGAAAATATTCTAAGTTCTTATTCGAGATTATTTACAGAGACTAAGTTCAAATGTATAAAGTTTATACTCTCGGATTTCATCAGCCTATGAATATTCCAGAACGAAGTGTCACCCTCAAATTCTGGGAATTGTTTTGGATTTATTGTATCAACTAACATGACTCCGAATTATTTTTCCAAGAATCAATTATTAGCTAACAAGCTCGTTCGGCATATCAAACGAAAGTCTTTGATTTAACATCAAAGGATGCCACCGGCGCAGCCGGCCTATCGCCGCCGGCTGCGCCGGCGGCATGATAACGGCCAAGGCTAATAGGTAGGTAGGAGTGGTTGAGTGGTTGAGTGGTGGCGTTATAAGAAAGTTTACACCGGCGATCTCGCCAGAATGGAGAAAAGCGTCAGGTTGGACACATCCGACTTCGAGGTAATCGAATATGGAGAACAACACGACGGTATCGACGCCGACTTTCGGAGCATTGCTGCGGAACTCCTGGACAACGACGGAGGAACCGCTGTCAATTTGGGTGAAAGCATTACGATTATTGGTGGACCGCAAAGATCTGAAACAAGAGGACAAGGATGCGTTCGCCGAACTGGGAGGTCAATTGCAATCGGTCCAAGAGAGCGAGATCGCGCGGGACACGATGAAATTCGACAAGTCCTCGTTGAGCAATTTCGTCGCAGCAATATATGACACCGAGTTATACACACGGTATATGAGAGAGCCCTTCCTCACGAGAGATCAGACGTTGACATTGCTAGGCATTTACAACGAGCTTACCACGGGACCATCTTTCTCCTTGGACACCATGACAATCATTACCACGTCGTTCATGACTGTTCCTGGCACAATAGCACGTGCAGATGCGGTAGAATTCGAGCGATCGAGTCAGGTACGCGCGATCGATCCCACGGAGGTAGATACGCTAGATACAATCGTAAAGTCACTCGCTCCAGCGTTTGGAACATCGAGCACTGGGTCAATTTGGTCTGCTATCTAGATTCAGACTCCCGAGGGCTTATGTCAATTGAAATTTCCGGAACCGAATGGCTACGCCATAGTGGAGATAAATATCGCACGGTATTCAAAGGTGAAGGATTTAGATTCGAGCGTGGCATGGAAGGCCTACGATTGTCGAGCAAAGATGGTTGTTCCCTCGCCAGTGGATCCGATTTATTCCCAGGCGATGAGATTGATACGCAGTATTACGGATACGCTGAAGGTGCGAAAAGACGGGAAACGGACGATCTTTCGTCAATCACCGACGCAATCACCACAGACGGACGGCGATTCGGACGGGGATCAACAACAGCCTCCGTCGCGGGAAGCATCTCGTCTGTCACGTCAACGGAAAACAGGTATCAAAAGGACTCGCTTCTGACTTACTTGAAGGAAGTAATATTCGCACCACCAAAGGTACTTTTCACATCACGTTTATGGTTAAAATCACGTTATCGATATTACGATAAACGTAAAACTTATTTCACCATAACATTCGAGGAATTGAAATTATTCTACGTTGAAAAAAACGTCATTGATCTATAGATGCATCTGTTATCGTGTGATCCTTTAAAATTATATTTCGCTACCGAAACACCAAACGATTATTATTTTAATTTGACTAAAAGCGTCAGGTATCTGGAAGCGTTATTAAATTTTCAATTTAATAATAATGACGATGCAATTATACGATTTTTACGTGATGTATACGATATTATCGATAAACGAATACCGAAAGTCAATACGTTATTTATTTTGGCAGAACCGAATGCCGGCAAAAATTTTTTTTTTGACGCCGTTGTACATTTCACCGTAAATTTCGGAATTATGGCAAATTGGAATAGATACAATCAATTTCCATTACAAGATTGCGTTAATCGTCGTATTATATTATGGAACGAACCAAATTTTGAGGATGGTGCGGAAGAAACGCTAAAATTATTATTCGGAGGTGATCAATGTCCCGCACGTATAAAATATGAACACGACGCGGTGATACAGCGAACACCTGTAATCGTTTTAAGTAATAACGATTGTTTTCCAAATAATTCTGCGTTTCGCACGCGAATCATAAGATATCGTTGGCGTTCCTGCGATCACTTGAAACTATTAACGCGGAAGCCGAATCCTTTGGCGGTAGGATATTTGTTAGTAAGGTGGGGGATAATAAACTGGGAAAGCATAGATTATGATTTTACAGATACAGATAAATATATTTTTTGTACGGATGTACTTTCATAATCACATACAACAATAAAGTACTTTATTGTAAAAACCAAATTGTGATTTTATAACCATATAATTCTTATCTACGCAAGTATTTAATTTATTTCCAGGTATAGTACGATTAGTATACAAATGCATTCCGTTTTCCAACGATCCGTGCAATGTAAATTTCACGTATTCGCATGTCGTATTGTATGTTAATTTTGTTCGTTTCCGTTTGGTTGTCGTAGCAACAGTACTTGTGAACTCCCGCTGGAAGATCGCCCAGGACCCATCGTCATTATTGTGTTCGTTATACTCGTCGACTCTTTCGGAACGGGTTTTACCACTGCCACCGGACGCTGACCTTGGTTTCCTTTCACTTCGCGTTTCGTTGTACGATTCTCCATATGGCCAACACTGCAAAGCCGGTTCGCTTTCGTCAGAATTCTCTGTAACAAATACAAGTAGCTACGATATTTATTTTGTAAGATATTTCAAGTACAAGTGAAAATATAGTAGACACTGGTATTGGTTACCGTATAATATTATTCGTTCAGCAACGTTAAACGTCAAATGTGGAATGTCTGATTCCGTGAGGTCTCTTAAACGCCGTGGAATCTTCGACGATCGAACCACTACTGCGTGATGAAGCAGCATCAACATCATGGAGTAAATCATAATCCATATTAGTCGTTGTATTATCGACGGACGATACATTACTGGTTACTCTGCTCTTTGCGTGTAAGTTAGGACAGTGATTGTAAGAGAGACCGTTGTGATAAGATTTAATGTAATTAGGAGGATAGTATGTAGGAGCGTAGGTGTGTAAACTCCCGAAGTGGAATGCGGAGTTCTGATAATGGTGGACGGTACACTCTGTCTCGACTGCCCAATACACTGCGGAATTCTGGAAATTGACCGTCTCGCTTCCAGGATTGATCGCTGGTACGGCTGTTAAGCCAACATGTACTTGTGGTTGCGCGTTACTACGAATATGACCTTTTTGCCAATCGTATGTCGCATAATGTTCGATGGTTTGCATGAAACTGGAGGACGTAATGTTCGACCAACTATCTATATTATTCTCGTTGAAACTTTCAAGCGCAATTGCTCCCTCTTGCGGAGCTGGTGGAGTATCGTTGTTAGGAACAGCTTTCACCTTGGTTGACTCCATGCGGACAGGTTCTATATTTATGGTCATAGTTAATGGCGTCCGTGATATATGTATCGACGATAATACCGTTTCTAGGTGAATATTCATAGTTTACAATCGGTTCTCCAATACAAGTATTAATGAGATATCTATTTACATAATTATCTAATTTTGGTCCCCCATTATTATGTATGAATTGATTCGCTCCGAGAGTCGCATTAGCATCGGCGCTTGTTGGTGCGATAATTGGCGTTGCGTAAATATTTAAATGTCGCGGTACCATTTGAACAGCTCCTCGTCCATTCTGATCGCCATATAATTTCTCTTGAATAAGTTTTATATCTATTGCCTTTGCGGCCTGTACTATCATTTGTTGGTTAGAACTAGGTGTATACATGAGATTTTCTATTGGCATTTGTAAATTTAAACCAATCGCGGATTGACCAATAGCTACGAATTCACTAGTAGCCCATTTCGATTCCGTTGTTCCCGTTTGAAAATTCATTCTACATCCCCATGGTGATACACGACATTTTGTATTGACAACAACTGCTTTTCCCATTAATGTACCAAATTCCGCGGTATCGATATACATTGGTAATAAATCTACAGGAATCAACATTAACGGAGTAGTGTAATGATAATTATTATTTTGTTTATTAATGTATGAGCGTATCCATAACTAAAAAATATCCATTTTTTTCTATAAGTTTTAACATAATATGGAGTTCTAGGAGTCTTCAGTAACATTATTGGTCCTCCAGATCCTCCGGATCCCTTGTGCGAATGTCCAGAAATGCCACCGCCTTTCGCCGGATTGGCGATCGCTTCCATACTTTCCACATTACCGTCACCAAATTGAGAAAGATCAAAGTCGCGCAGAGCCATATCGTAACCGTCGTCTGGTATCTCGCTGTCTCGTGGTGCCGTGTCACCTCCCGATGTAGAAGGACGTTCGATCGAAGGACCTGCCACAGGACTGTCTCTTCCGTCGTTGTGCCGTTTATTGGATCCTTCAGCTCCATCTAATGGTGCCCCTTTACGTTTTTGATGCGCTTCTCGCATCAACCCACCGAAATGTAACTTTTGAAAATCAGCCCAGGTACCCGATTTACCGTTCTCTTTCCACAATTTACTTAATTCCCTTATAGCATATGTATAATCATCTCTACCACCGTGCGATCGATGCATAGGATACTGTTGCCCATATATATTTTCAAAGGAACGTTTAACTTGTAAACCAACACCACCGATTAAACTGTGAAAATTACCCGAACGTTGAAAATCTTCTATAAACTCATCCACTGCCACGCTATCAGCCGCGCTAACGTTCTCTGGCTGTATCTCGTACAGTAGATCGTGCTTTCTTGCTATCGCGTCGTCCGTATCCACCGGCGGACCGTTTCTGACTGCGTTTCCCGGTCCCAGATATCGATGGCCCGGTAGACGGGGCATAACTGAGCGTATCCGTGAACGACGGAAGGTGATGTTGGCGCCATCTGTCCGGAACTAATAACCGCCCGTACAAACTTGCGATTTTGGCCTCGACGGAGATGATCTCTCTCCAACGTTTCCAAATATCCTCTTGCAATGTCATGGGTAAACCTTGCGTATCCGAAGCGTCCAAAACAATGCGATCCTTGAGAAAAGTATCGATAGCAGCGTTATATAGAGTTTTCATCGATCGCTTCTGCTTCCAATATAACGTATTCGTCCTTATATCTATCCACGGTTCATCATCCGTATCCGCGTCGACGTCTACTGTCTTCATATCCGGTACGTTATTAAATAATTCTATATCCTCTTCTAACATACCTATATACTCTTCGTTCACCATGTCGGATGTGTCCAACCTGACGCTTTTCTCCATTCTGGCGAGATCGCCGGTGTAAACTTGCCTAATGCCGGCTTTAAGAGAGAAATTATGTTAAATTCTTCTAAAGCAATTCGTGTATGTAGATATATGTTTATGTTTAACGTTCTGCAATTTTCTGTATTACACAAAGAAATATATAGTTATACTTAAAATTGTTTGACGAACATAGTGAGTATAAGCATTAATATTAATTTTCTTTATTTCAGAAATTATGGATTTTGTCAATTTAGTTTCCTAAAATCGAGAATAAATGTTCCTATTAAATTTGAATAAAATTTTTAAATAACTTGCATTTTAATTTCACATATTGGATTTAGTTTTCCGAGTGCTTATATGCTTACTACATCCAAGATTTTATAAGTAAATCTTATAGTTTATGACGAACACGAATATAGGGTGTCCGTAAAATATACTATATAATAGGTGGTACGTGTGTATTCTACAGATGATATCTTTTTATAAGACACACACAGAAGATATGGGTGTATACTTGTATGTCGATATACTATTCTTAATGCTATTCTTCCATAAGAGTAGTTTCTATTCCTTTCCTTATTTCTCGTTTTTTCACAAGATTTTTATATTAGGTCGAAAGAGAGGGTAAATTGACATCATTTACGGGAGCGCATCCCGTTTGATCACGTTGCGATTGACCACAGCCATTCATAGCGGCCGGGTGCCTAGAGATTTTCCTTTGTTCAAATGCTATAAGTGGCTGATGGTCAATTTGATTCCAATTGGTTAAATTTTCAAATGTCTATTAACTAAATTTTCTTAATTGAATTTTAGTGTTTTTTATAAATGTCAATTATTTAAGTATTGATTTATCTGTCAAATTATATAAAATTTAAGATCATACAAAAAATTGAATATTTTAGTGTTCCAGAAATAAAACTTACAAAAAAAGTTAACAATTTTAAATCTAAAATTAAAATAAATAAATTTTAAGTTTGTCAGTGAAGAGATGCAGCAAAAGAAGTCAACTCTGAGAAGGCGGACCGTTATATTAACATTCTGGCATGAAGAATATATAAATTCACTTTAATCTTATATATAAATAATATTTAACATTTAATATTTAATATTCAATAACATGCATTAACATGGTTCATATTTATTCTTGCACCGATGCTCCCGGCCAACGTCGCGAGGGAGGCCTGAGACCGCCGACTCCCTACGATCGCGATAGAGTATAAAACCGCTCGCGCTCTGCGCTCGACTAGTCTGCGCTCCGTTAGCCCGTCAAATTCTTCGCGCTACTAGCCTGTAAGTTTATTCATGCCTTTGCACGCCATTAGCTTGTAAGCCCGCGCCGTTAGCTTAAAATTTTTCGCGCCTCCGCGCGCCGCTAGCTTGTAAGATTGTTTGCGCTTCCGCGCGCCTTTAGCCTGTAAGATTGTTTGTGCGTCTCCGCGCGTCGTTAGCGTATAAGATTTTTTGTGCCTTCGCATACCGTTAGTTCGTAAGACGTGTCCTGCGCACTGTTAATGTGTATGAGTTTCCCCGCGCCGTAGCCTGTAACACTGCGCCTATTCATCTGCGCATCTCCGGGTGTTGTACATATAAGAACGTGCGCATTTCGGCGCCCTAAGATTTGTGTATCTTATTTAAGTGTTGGACCAATAAACTGTTGAAATGTTTAACCACCGTGTCTTACTTATTTGTTAATACGAGTCTCTCCAATCCCCATCTCCCGAACTCTGGCGTCCGACAAGCGCGATCCGCGGCGATCGGGAAGGCGGACCGTTATATTAGCATTCTGGCAAGAAGAATATAAATTCACTTTAATCTTATATGTAATATTTAACATTTAATATTTAATATTCAATAATATGCATTAATATCAATGTCAAGGTTAAACTCTGCCGGCGAGGGAGTTTCAAGAATAAATTCCAGCGTCATAATGAGATCATCTATGCGACAGTTTAAAGCACAGACTTTAAAATATTATTTTAATTCGTATGCAATATTTTACATGATACAAGAGCAAGATTATCATTATTCTTGAATTAATTTCTCCCATTTTACGGAAAGATGAATTTCACATATTTACGCTTTAGTATAGTTATACGCTTAATTATTGATACTGTAATGTAAACTATTTGTTAAAACTTGAATTTGAATAAAATTACCGTTTGTCAGGAATTCGAGTTCGATTATTTTTAAACAATGTCCACAATGTCCAACAATGTTATATTTAAGCGCGCGTACAAGATGAATTCGTCCGCCATGTAGTGGTCACAGGAGCAGGAAAAGGTGGAATCTTTGGTCTTTTAATAAAGCGGCACAATTTTAAAGAAAACACTATAATATATATTTTAACGTCTGAACAGAGTTTATACAAGTAAAAAGTAAAAAGTCTCGAAGAACGCACGATTGAACAACGATACGATATCGACTTTACACGACTAGTTTTGACTTCGGCTTCGCGAAAAAGACGTCTGTCTCAACTGTCGACTAGAGAGAGAGAGTGTCGGATCGCCAGTTGCTCCGAAAAATGGAGCAATGTTCGATGATATTAGTTCAAATAGAGTTGCAGCCTCGCTATGACTGGTCGAAATCGAAGTATCGAAAAGCGAGCGCTGGGATCGTTCGAATACCGCTCTCACCGATCGCCGAACAGCACTTTTGGTGCCATCCGCCGATCACCTTAAGAACTTCTTAGTAAACAGTAATTTACAGTAATTTTAATGTATTTTAATATTCTTAATGAGATAATGTATACATGATTGGAATGTCAAGGTGAAGATTTCAAGGATAAAATGCTTCTCCTTGCAATTTAAGCTGTGAAATAAATTGAGAATAAAATATTTAGATTTTAAATTAATTCGTTACTTGAATAGTTAGCTATTCGTTATTAAAATAGTTCAGCTATGTAATTTATTTTATTCTTTTGATTTTTCTAAAAATTATTACTTAATAGATTTTTTTTTTATTAGGTTAGATTAGGTTAGATTCTTTAAGATAATCTCATCTTTCAGATAACTTAAATATATGAAACAATTTAATACATCAAATCTTATTATTTTATAGATAATCCCTGCTCTTGTATTTATATAATTCTAGATTTCCAATTTTACAAATTTTTGAAAAAACTTTTAGCGAGCATAGTATAGCATATAATATAATATAATATAGTATAATATTATAAATATTATAATAAAAATTTTGTTACTACAATAATATTTTAAGATATATTATTTTCAGAGCTTTCATACGCAGAAAAGTTTTTGATTAAACAGAAATAAAAATATTCTGAATTACTATAGTCTTGAATTTCCAAATGAAACATCTTCGACATCTTTGAAGATTATGATGGTTATGATGGTTCGGAATGGAAGCATTTCGTTTGACCATGTTGCGATTGACACAACCATTCACAATGGCCGGTGCCTAGAGGTTTTCCTCTGTTCAAACGCTATGAGTGGCTGGTGATCAATTGCAACGTGGTCAAACGGGCCCCCACCTGTTCGGAACACTTCTCGGTTTAGTTACATAACAGTCAACATTTAAAAAAAAGTATCGTTCAAACTATCATCGCTCGGAATATAAGCAGTGTCAATCGCTAACTATTTCATTTGGTTTCTTTTTGGTAGACAACTGCGTATTCTGATAATACGTATGACTTTAATCCAAAGTAGTTTTTTGTTTTCTTAAATAATATTATATAGAACATTAAATATAATTATTAGAAATATCTTTGTCTATATTTTTTATATTTTTTTGGATTGTCTATTTATATTTA